TATTTAAGTTTTATACAAATTATATTATTATACAAATTAGTAATTTTAATATTGAATTTCACAAAAATTATTCACAAAATTATTTTACATTTTTAACCTTTTCACCTTGATTTTATTAATTACACACATCATTAATGGTTTTTAGTGTCTGTACTCTTAATTCAAAACGCCACTCCACAGATACTTTATTCTTAGCCTACATATTTACCATTATGCCATAGATGCATACAATTGCAATGGTGATTCTTATTAAATTAGATGTATATGTTTGTTTTTGTTGTTTGTGTATGTACAAAACTATGAGTGCTGTGGTAGTTGTTGTTCTTTAATTTGCCTATAATATTTAGTAGCTACATTTCATATATGTAAATATGTATGTATGTTTATTAATATTTGTTCGTAATTTGCTCTTGAGTAGAAAAATTTCTTTCGCTTCATGCTAATCGTATATTTATTATTAATGCGAGCATAAATTTACATATAGATTAAGATTTTAAGACCTTGTGACTTAGTTGCCTAATTTTATATTCGTTTCAAATCATGCACATTTCAAAATTGAGCGCAGCGTTTAAGACCGCTCTCTCAATTCCACAATCCAATTTCGTGGTGGTGATCCTTAATGCCTATGGAGTAGTGAGTTTGCGTACAAATTTTCTTTATTCCTTTTGTATTTTGTTTGTGATCTTTTGCTATATTGTGTATGTATATGTGAAATTGTGTCTATATACAATTCCCGTTTGAATTAGTCGGTTAGAGTCGCGGGAGAATAAAGAACACTGTTCTAGAAGTGATGTAAATTACGGTTTCTGTATGTAGTGGTATTGATATTTTGAGTCGTTGAATTTGGCATATACTATGTATGTATCTAATTTTAGGTTAAGTATGTGAAAGGTATTTTTACAAAAATTTCTCCGTGGCGAAATGAACTTATGATGTTGCGTCCAAACATATACACATGTTATAGTGGCTGGCGAAATTAACATTTACTTATGTTCATTTAAGTTTTGTTTTACAGTTTTCTTTAATTTTTTAGGTTACTTAACTAGTTTAATTTACAATAAAAACAACAACATTATAAATTTTTTTTGGTATATATATTATATATGATTTTAATCGTTTTAGTCTTACATTAGTTTTAGTTGCTTTAAAAAGTATGAAATTCGTTTACTCATTGTTTATTCATTAATAAATACACTAGTTTTATATAATTTTTTGTCCAGATATTTATTTATAGATTTCCAACAATTACTAAGGTTAATTCTAGCAAAGAATTTGCGACATACACATACTTTACAAAATTAAAGCTAACAAAGAAATTATTACTTTTTACCTGTCAAAAATTATTTTTAATTTAGCAACTCATTGCTACGAAAAGATAATTTAAAATGCACTGTTTGAGCGGAAACCAAAAAGGGAGGGTTTCAACGGATCCCGTACAGTGGTGAATATGTATATGTACTGAGTGCCCGCTTTGTATACTATACATTCACCCATTACAACAAGAAATTAATTCACTTTTGCTATTACTTTTGAGTGCAACTTTTACTTCTCAACTCCTTCAGTTTTTCACCTCATTCAAAGCACCGTTTTTCTTATCCTTTTTCACTAGCGCATAAAGCGAGGCGGCCTTGTAGTTGATTGGTCCATAATGTTGACTCTCTAAATCAGCATAGATTAGTTCATCGTCGAACTCCGCAGCACTCAGGGGCTAAAGTGTAGGATTATGTTAGGAAAATAATTTTTTAATCTGTGATCTTGCAGCAGTATTTGATTAGCAAGCAGCAGGTTAAATTAGCATTCACAGTTTCTGCAAGCTTGTTAGTTTCAACAGTTATTATCGGCTGTGAGATTCAAATAAATACAAATAAATGGTATTGTAGGGGATCAGAATTTCCGAAGGGGAAAAATATATGATACATATTGGAGAAGTGGTCCTCGAGACCATTTCAATTGTTATTTGTCCAAAAAACTCCATTTGAATCACATCGGCAATGAGTATTACAAAAAACGTGTCAAGTGAGTTAGTTGCGAATATTTTGAATAGTGACATCATGGTTTATTCACTTTCAAATTCGAATGAAAACATGATTTCTTCGAACAGTGAATAGTTCCATAGTAACATGAAAGAAGACCTTCGCAGCTTCAAATTTCTAATTGATTTGTTTTAAAGAGTAAAACCCTTTCCTTGTGCGAAGGGGGAAATGAGTACAGGTGGAACTATACGTATTTTTAAATATAAATTACCACATAATTCATGCAGTTCTAAGCACAATTTCTCTGTTTAAAAAAATTCAAATCTTCAACAAGATATTTTGCGAATTAAGCTTCTTATGAGAACTATATATAAAACTTTAAAAAAGCTCTCCCTAAAGCCCAAAAATCCAGTGAAGCTGCAAATTACATTAAAGCAATCGAAGCGCTGTGTGTGTGTTAGTATTGGCAAATTTTTTTATTATATTCAAATATCGGAAGGAATTTATTTTTCTGTCGTGCAGTGCGCTTTTGAGAACTTAGAATGAAATTTTGATAATCTATTTTTTAAATCCAAACTAATTGTAAAAAGATATTTTCTGTATATCATCGGATTAGTCAAAATGCAACAAATGTATATATGAGAAATGAAATGCGTGGAGAAAGTACTCAACGAGAGAATATGAATGTGATAGGTGAAATATGAAACCGAAACGAAATGCACAAGAAAAAATATCAAGAATTTGATTTTTTTGAAAAATAAAGATACAAATCTGGAAATTTAACTGAATTACAGCAAATAGTCTCATGAATCTCAAAAAGCATATAAAACAATAAATTGTATAGAGTACGTATAACTGTACATACAAGTATACAAAAATGCAAAACAACAAGCTCACGACAGAAAAACAAACGAGTGTTTAAATGAAATTGGAGTTGCCAGAACTTTTTAATGCTAAACAAAACATCTCAAATTCTACTGATTTTTAACTGTTTTCGTTATTTGCAAGCTAAGAAATATTTGACTTCGATTTACCTCTCCGAAAATATCTCAACATTTCAATGCACCTTAGTTTACAGTTATACAGGTATATTTGTAGTAAGAAGACAATTATGTACATTTGTAGCAAAGTTTTGTTGTTCAAGTTCAATATTTATTTATTTTGTTTGCGTTTTTGTATTGTATCTTGCAAAAATACTTTTCGTCTTTGTGTTAGAAAATATACGTGTTACTGCCTTTATAGGGATCTTCAAAATCGGACACTTGCTATAATGAGATACGAAGATAAATTAATATTCAGTATTTTCTTAGGTTTTAGTTTTGATTTGTTTTGTTTCCTTTTAACAAAAATTAATGTTTCGAAGTATTAACGTGATGTGAAGATGTGTATGTATGAAATTGTTTGTAATAGGTTGGTAATTTTAAACTTCGGTTGATTGCGCAAACTATTCTGTTTGAGGCGACTCAAGTGAGCAACCGAAATCTGAATGCTTAAATATTTGCATAAAAAATCATTTTGTGGTGCTAAATGAGAACGATTACAACATTTAAAAATTCGATAATTTTTCCTTAAAAGTAACTAACTTTCTGGCCGTGAATCTTCGTTTACTTATTTCTGAACGTGTTCTTTGATGGAAAGCAGAAAGCTAATGAACTAACTTATTATTACTGTAATTGCACTGTAATGGTAAATAGTTAAATAAAAAATTAATGTTAACTTACAAGTTTTTCTATCGATTTCATTTATTAAAAACTAGTATATCTTACCATTCTATGACCTTTGCAGACTGTAAAGTATTAAATTTAGTGAATCATTACTTGCCTATATAAGCCAATCCTATAAATATTAATGGGGAACCTTTTGGACAGCTTTAGCTGGAAAGTGGGATTTTGAAATAATGAAATATTTATGCGACTAAAGCATTGGAATTTAATTGCTTGCATGCCGAAAGAGGGGGGGAAACTTCAAAAGTTTTTTTATTTCATTATCATCTGTTTAAAGTAGTTAAGTAACATTCCGTTTTCATCTAGAAGAGATCATAGAATTTTTAGTATAATTACTCGTTTTAATACCATGAAAGTGGCAAAGCTAACTTATGCGAATTTAAAAGTTATCAATAATAAAGGAAGTTGTTACGCCTCACCAATATCTACGTCATAAAATTATGCTTAAAGAACAGTGAAGTAAATATTCCACTTCATCTGACTGCTTTTAGGTTTTCTACGGTGAAATTATGTCTGGCTCATTGTTGTTGAAGAGGCTTTCACAAAAGCTCTATTGATTAGGGTCGCATTCATTAGCTTCAAGAAGAATTTTCAATTCATTTGCAAGAGTCCATATTGATATTTAATTTTTTGCTTCAAAACATAACAAGAATATAAATTACTTCAATTGGGTAGAAATATTATTTCTAATAAGTAGTAGAATACGAATATAGTCTTTCATTATATAATGAATATTTAAGAAATTGCTAACATGAGCCATGATATTTTATTTGAAAAATGAGACAATTGCAAAATAATTTTAATCATTTAATTCAAATATTAAAAAATAAAACTTTCAAAATTTACTTCGAAATTCACTATGTATATTTTAAATTCTATAATTATTTCTTAAATTTTATAAAGAGCTGATTTACTAATTTACCAAAATAACTTAAATAAATAGAAATATTCATAAACTGGTTTGTATACCGTTTAGTTTAAAAATAATTTATTCTAAAAAATTAGATATATAAATAATGTCAGTTAAATTCTTGGGATAATTGCAAATAAATTATTATTTTTTAACTATAACATTTTCTCTCAGACTGATTTGCGGTAAATGCATTCTTAACATAATATATTAGATTTTTCGTGGTAAATTGTTAATTAAAAAATAAAACATATTAAGTTCAAAAGCATTTTAAATACAGATAACTAAATACACAATAAATTAATAAATAATTAAATAAAAGTAATATAGTAACTAATTAAATAAATAGTTATTTTAATAGTAAATTTATTAAGCAAATAACGGTATAATATTGACTAAATTGTCACTTCCTTCAATAAAATTGTATGAAACTGTAGTTTGCGTATACAAAATTACTCATGAATATATTTGGATGGGAATTTAATAAGTCTGCTGCTTACACTAAAACTATCGAACTGTACTTACTCTTGTTACATAAGCAGAAAGAAATTCTAGTTAAATCAGGGCTGGAGTTTGGTACATTAATATTTTACACAATAAATTCATGTACATATGTATGTATGTATACTATTATGATTTGATTTTATGTTTAGACTAAACTGCTATACATTCATAAATTCAATATCTAAACAAACTGACCTTATGTGTACTTCATTTGGTTTTTAATTTCATCATTATTTGGATTGAAAAGTACCAACAAACTTAACACGTTGACAGTCATTTACCTAATTCTATGTATGTATGTAAATATATGCACTTACAACTAAGTAATTTATACATAACTATGAGACTATAACTACAACTAAATGAACGTACTTACTCGATTTAACTTATACATGTATGTATGAGCGCTTGTTGCCCGGGCTGGACAAGGTGCACTTCAAACTAAATTGTAATTTTTGGTATTTATTTACAGTTATTACTGGCCATGCTGTGTTATTTTTGTTGTATGTATGTATAATGTTGGATGGTTTGTAGCGCCTTATAATCCTAACTAAATTCTACGCCAAATTGTAGCACGTCATGAGGCTTTCGCTATTTGTGGCGTTTAAATATGCACTTCGCGGTAACTTTGTCGCAGCATGTATTTCACGTGGCCACCATTGCGCCCCGCAGAGAGAACTACGCGTGGCGACTCCGACGTATGTGTGATTGTGCGTTGCTCTTCAGCGGGTTCATTTTCTCCGCTTTTAACAGGCTCGCCCACCAGCTCCTCAACGCCTTCATCTTCATCGTCGTCTTCGCAGAAGGAATAGCCGAGATCTTCCTCATCGTCGCACTGAGCTTCGAGCGTAGTATTTGCCGCGACTTCTTCCAGTCGAGCGTCACTGTCACTTCGCGGTGCTGTGGAGGCCTGTGATAGAGTTTGGCTGACGTTTGGGCGATTTTCAACGTCCAAATGGTGTGTCCACTGTTCCGGTAGTGCAAGTTGCTTGTGCAGATTTTGGCGTGTACCCGGTTTGGTGGCATAAATTAACTCGGGATGGTGTTTGGTGAGCGCTTCGAGCGCCTCCAGCGAAGCGGCAGGATTAAGGCTTACATGTGGTAATTGTGCACTTCTAGTGATTTGTTTGATTTCGTCTGAAAGTTCCTCGCTCAATTCAGACTTTTCTTCTTCCTCCTCTGTGCTTCTTTTCTCACTTAACTCTGTTTCTGTTGTAGTGGGGAGGTCGACTGCCGCTTCGACAACATCAACTGGCGATGATATTGGCTTGAAGGTGCGCTGCTCGTGCCAGGAGAGCGGGCGAAAGACTAGCGGTCCACCTTCGGTTGCATATCGTCTGGTTGAACGTGCTGCAACGCCAGGTATGGCGGTTGGTGATTGGCGGAAAGCCATAAGGTCAGCATTGTCGGCATGAGTCGCGGATGGTGCATAGTATTGTAGTTGTTGTCTGTGTTGCATTTGAATACGTAATTGCTGCAATTGGCAGTGACGCAGTGTGCCGGCCACCGTTTGCGAGGGCTGGAAGTGGAAAGTATGATATTTGCGTAGCGGCAACTTAACTGGTCGACGTCCTAGATTATCGCCGTGTGCGGCATATTTGGCTGTTGTTGGTTTTGCACTTTGAACATCTTCGACATGTGGCAGCATTGCTTTCACGCTGACATCGGCCTCGCCAGCAACGGTGCGGTCTTCTGTGGTGACAGTCTCCTTAGCAACAACAACAGTATTTCTCTCATCAGCATTACCACCCAAAGGTACTAATCTGCGTCGTTGCTGTTGGAACATTGCAACATCCTTGTTGTTGTGCTCCTCAACATCCTCATCGTCGTTGTCGCCGTGCTCTTTGTTGTTGTTGTGCAATTTTCGCGGGATTAGCAACGATTGTTGATGCTGTTGATGTTTGCGGCTATTGTTGTTCTCATGTTGTTGTTGTAATTTAACTTGCTGTTGCTGATGATGTGCTGCTGCTGTTGTTGCCTCGGGCGCATTGCTCGCACATTTGGCACGATAATTGTGGGCGTGTGCTTGGCAATCGGTAACGCCGTTGTTGCAGGTGTTGTTGGCGGCGCGCCTGCTGTAGGTGATATAGCGGATATGTGCGTAGGGGTCGCTGATAGTCTTTCGTCGTAGTTTCTTATCTCTGCCGTGGGCATTGTACCTGTCGGCGGAGGCGGCGGCGTTGGCAACGCAGCCGGTCGCTGTTGCACCGCGTTCGCTTGCTAGAAATGGATTAGTGACGCCAATAGCATAATGCTGTTAGTTAGTGTTTTAGGATTATTGAGGTTTCAAGCAAAGACATAATTGTCAGGTTAATTGTAGCATGCAACACATTTACACACGCGCCCATATGAATAATGAAGGCGGTTGTTGGGGAGATAAAGTCGCAAAAAACATATGAGTCGGTGGGTGTTGCAAGAACCCGTATTAAAGATGATGCGGATGATTTGCAAATAAACAACGAAATATGAAAAGGAAAAGCAAAAATCAAATTAAGTAAAAATAAAATGTATACAAATAAGCTTCACGTAATCGTGTATTCATAAAATTTTTATAAAAATGTGTAAAATAATTCCTACCGAGTATAATAGTTTTCTTTAACTAACGGTTGTCTGTGTGACCTAAAGAATCGAGTTAGATATATGGTTCTATATATAAGTGATCAGGACGACGAGACAAGTTGAAATGTGAAAGTATGTGTATCCGTCCGTCTATTCGCTTGCGATAGCGATAACTGCAGTAATAATTAAAATATTTTAATGAAACTTGGAACAGGTGTTCCCTCAGCAGTGTAAAAATTCATGAAATGGAAATATCGGCTTTGTGAGAATTAAATTTTACATCCAATATGATTCAGGAAGTTTCATAGGGGCCAAAATTGACGATTTAGGTGAAAGCTTTACACTTTGTACCCTGAAAGGGTATATTAAGTTTGCCACGATATTTGTAACACTCAGAAGGAAATGTCAGAGACCATATAAAGTATGTATCTAAGCGATTCCCGTGATGAGCAATGGTAATTTCGTAAGGCAAGAATTCAACAGAATATTTAATTTTAGGAACAAAATTGTAATAACCTTGGACCATGTTTTGACAGTCTTTGACCTAATAATATTCCAAAATTTTTAAATTTCTTTGGCGAATTTATAGAAATTTTTAACTTTCATACGCAAATCACTTCAGTTCAGTGCAAACGCAAAGCTAATACTTTAAAAGAAGCCATTAGAAGATGTCAGGCTACTTGGGAGTTAACTAATTATACTGATAATATCAAACAATCAGCACGGTCCCCAGTTGTGGACAATGCCTAGAATAGATTTTAAATTTGTTTGTATTAAGTTTTTCAAGCGTGAACGACTGGGAACTCTCTTAAAAATTATCTTAAACTAAATTTTTCCAAAGAGTTCACAATGGGACTTTCAGTAAAGACCATGTTTGCCAAATGTAGTGTCGTTTTTTGTATACGTACATATATAAAAATTAAATACTATATTAGATCGAAGAATATGTTCAAAAGGGCTTCTTATGAAATCTATACGTAACCCCTTAAACAAAGACAATTTCCTAAAATGAAGCAAGTCCTGTTTTGTTGTTTATTTAAAAAAAAAAAAAAACCCAAAAAATGAATATTTTCATATTTAAAATATATTTTCTCGATCACTTTATAACTCCGAGTCATCCACCAGAAAAAGAATTGGTAAAGACTACTGATGGCGGATTAATTTGGACAGTTTTTATGTACGACCATTGATTGAACCGATGGATCAAACCTGTTAGGCATGTGAACTTCATTACCGGAACTGCCTTTTGGGTAAAAATATTCATACTCTAACGGAATTAGATAATCTTCTGTATCCTTATTGATTGATTATAAATTTTATTCCAACCAATTATTTAAAAGGTGGTAACTCTTCTCAAAAATAATTCCGTAGGCTAGCATTCTTAAATACTTAAGCGCATGAGAACTGGAACTTTCATCTGTTTATAAGTTCGAGAGTTATCAGTAAATTCTAAATTTTAAGATCATACAATTGCAGTTTTTGGTCAGTTCCGGGTTGCTTAAATCAGTTTAGTAACTTTAAGAAACAAAGTGATCAATTAAGAAATTTCGTTTTGAGCAACTAAAAAAAAACTAAGCTAAGAGTATATCCACTCCAGATGAAAAACTATACAAGACCAGTAAGATATGCGTCAATAATAAATGCTTTCTTTTAAATATGGTCGTCATCCTATCGAAAAAATTTTATATTCACGATTATATAGTAAAATATTTAACTCTTATGAAATACATAAGTTCATCAAAATAATAAAAAGTAATAACTTTTAAATACAGGTTCACAAATTACAGTTATATAGTGTCTTTCAAGCAAAATCTAGACCATTAGTACAATAAAAGTACAAACCTCAATTCCTGTAACGGAGCCCGATGGCGCTAACACGCCCGGTTGTTTTTTACAACGACGCGTTCCACTGGCACTCACCGTACTTGCCACACTAAGCGAGGAAGCAGAGTGACGGTGGTGACCCAGCTGATATTGTTCGTACTCCTCCGGCGTTGTAATTTCGGTTTTTTGATGCAGACCACAACGGGGCGCTGTTAGCCCCACACCCGCCTTCATGAGTGGAGCCACACCTATTAGAGTACCAGTACCGCTACTGTACAATGAATTGCATGAGGACAAGGATGCCGGATCTGTTGAGCCCTGCCCACCATGACCGTCATTTTGTGAAGAGGAAGCCGACTCATACGAGGTATTTATTAGGTTGGAACTGGGCGAACATGAGCGTTCGAACGCGCTTGAAGGCTGACCATCCACATTCATATAAACGGGCAGCGAGGTACCACTGGCTGTAGCATTCGCAATGTTGCACCTACTGCCGCCAAGTTGACGTAGAGACTTCTTATAATTAACTCCATTGACGAGACTGATAGCGCTGGGACCGCTACTAGCAGAGGACGCGTGTTTCGCTAATTTGTTGCCTTTCGGGGTTTTTGGTGGCGGCGTGCCATTCAGTGCAGCTGCGGTGCGCGTGTTGCCCGGCGGTGGTGGCACCGGCGTAACACACTCATAAGAACTATTCGAAATGCCCGAGTCGCTGCGATAGATGCTCAGCCGTTCCGGTTCGATTAAATTGAAATCATCCTTCTGCTGGTGTTGGCGATGGTGATGTTTTTTCTTGTGGCCCGTTTGTCCAGCCGTTGCATGACTACTGCTTCCGCCGCTGCCGCTAGCCCTAGGCTGCGGATGTAGCAATATGGTGGCCGTGCCACTCATACCGCCAGCGTCGGGCGATGGATGCGCCTCTACGGCGCACTCGTGCACCTGCACTGCGGCCGTACTGTCGCCAGCCAAGTTCTCATAAGCGGGCGGATCGTAGAAGCGCATCAAAGCCGAAGATTTCACCTGGTGGGCGTTGTGTTGGGCGCCCGGGCCGGCGGAGTCAATATCGCCAATGCTACCACCAGCAAAAGAATGATGTCGCTTACACTTGCCACCATTGCTGCTGCTGCCACCGTGCAAAATTACAGACGCATTCAACAAACCACTCGCCGGTGACTTGTGTACCACATGCGGTGGTTTATGCTTACCGCCACTGCCGGTGAATTTTAGCGAGTAGAATTTCTTATCCTCCATTTTGCCATCCAGCATGGGTTTCCGCTTGCCACTGCGCTGCATCGAACTACTGCCAGTTATGTCCAGTATATGCGGCTGATACGCATTATCCGTCGTGCTACCGCTAGTGTCATATTTTTTAAAATTGCTGATGGCCAAGAATGGGTTGGTGCTGACCGCTGCTGGGATAGGGGCTGGACCAGCGCGCGGACTATGACCATCAATTCCACCCATATCGGTAGCGCTAGCAGCAGCGGTATTACGTTCAACCACCGCATAGGTGGGGTAGTCATGATCGATGGCGCTCAACAATTGCGCACTGGAAGTGTTATTCGAGGCGCTATTTTTGTGCTTCTGCTGTTGCTGCTGGTGATAATATTCTGTGTAGCTTTTCGGAAAGCAATTATTCAGATTGTATGTAATTTGATGGGGTGCACCGCCGCCGCCGACACTGCCGTTCATATAAGCGCTGCCACCAGGATCTGTACTGCCTGCGCCAACCGTGCCGCCGCCGACGTTGCCGCTGGCCCCATCCGCTCCTGATATCAGCAGCTGCTGCTGCTGTTGTTGATGTTGTTGGTGATGCGGCAGCATGCCTTTGTTGTGGGAATTCATTGTGTGCGATTGCTGGTGCTGGGGATTCGTTGTTATCACTCGTCCACCGGCACCGACATATTGCATGGTATTGTATTGATGCTGTTGTTGTTGTTGATGATGCTGTTGGTGTTGATGATATTGAAACTGTTGGTCGTACTGGTCCTGCTCGTACTGCTGCTGCAGCTGGTGCTGTTGCGGGCCAATATTTCCATTGAGTCTCTTGGGTCGTGGAGCGACGCGCACCACATTGGTGTTGTTATTAAAATTTGTAAGAGTCGTAGATAACTGTGCGTGTGTGCGGAAAGGCGCAGGAATTCGTACGCGGGGTGTTGGTGGTTAGTGGTGGTTTAGTCCGTTGATTGCATGTTTTTAGTTGTAGTTGTTTGTTTTCGTTATGCATTACATTCATGGAAGCGGAGGCGTGTTACATATGGGAGCGTGAAAAGAAATCACACGAATGTTTGGATTAGTTTTTGTTATGCATTGAATTTCGAGTGCTATTAGCCAGTTGTGTTAGCATGTAAATTGAGAATTAGTTACAGCACTAAAATTTAGTATTGGTAGTGATAAAATATAACAGTTTGCTTAGACATTTAAATGCATTTTCTTATTGAAATAAAAAAATGGTGTGTTTATGCTTATGGCGCTAACAAATTTGACAACAAGTAGAGTTTAAGGAAGTGCTTAATTAAGATTAGTGGTGTTCGACATTCGTGATTGCATTTAAAGTCGCCAGTTTAATGAAAGTGAAACATTTCCGGTGTAATTCTGTTACTTTATAACATGAAGTGATTTTGGAAATGCCTTGAAAGTTCCACCGCATATTTTCAAGTTAGGATTCTTCTTCTAAAGGGCTATGCCTGTTGTGTTTCTATCCATAAGTGGCAGGTAAGGTTAGTGATTTTAGAGTATTACGGGGTTCTTACATCCCTAAGTACCAATACTGTTGGTGCTAGAGAGCTACTAGAATATCCTTCAACGAGCAGAGGTCTGAACTTTGCATTGGCTGGACATTGTAGTTAGCGCGTCTATTTTCAAGATAATTTGTGGAAAAAGTTTCGAATGGATTCTGGTATGGAATTGTTCTAGCTAACTGTAAGAGTTATGACTTTATCGATTTTCATGGTCTTAAGGTGGAATATATGAAACTAGAGCTTCAGAAAATATAGTTTGTAATGGTTTCATTTTTATAATATAAATGAGTAGATAATAAACTGTAAAATATGGACGAGACTAAGTCATTAAAATTAAGGAATGAATAGGTTTTGATAGCGAGTTAACCGCTTTAGTTAATATTTTGTGCAGGAGGAAATTCACAGCGTTAACTGAAAGAAAACCTAATGAGGGAATCATTTCACTATTAGTCAATAATACTTAGTATATCATGATGCACATTACGATTATATTGTGCACCTAACGGTTGATTCAAATGAAAGTACTTTCTTCAAGGCCTTTTTTGACAGATCACGCGTGAACCGTGTCAAGCTGTCATATTATTTTTATTCAGTATTGCTTAGCATTTCATCATGGAAAGACTTACTTTTGAGCAACGTTTACAAATACGATCTCTAATGAATGTGTTTCGCGCGCTTCGCTCAATTTACTATTCGATTCACCATGAACCATTTGAAAGGCATCATTCATTATTGAATTAAGAAAATATGGCAGCCGTAGCTGAGAGTTTACACGTTCGCAGCAACTCGGACTGACGTATGGAACGACTTGGTGGATTTTACGTCGGGTTCTTAAAGAGTACAAAATACAGCTTGTGCAGGAAGAGAAGCCGGTCGATCTTCCCAAGCAACATTTCTTTGGGTATATAGGCTACTGAAAAGTTCTAAGAAGATATGACGTTTTCGAATAAAATTTTATTCAGCGGTGAGGATCATTTCTAGTTCAAGGGGTATATAAACAAGTAAACATTTTTGAAACAAATATCCACTTGGCATTTGGAAAAAAGATCTACTTAAAGAGCTTCAAGAGCAAAAATGCAGAAAAAAGAAATGATTTGGTATGTTCTGTGGGCCGGTAGTAGTATCGGCCCATATTTCTTCAAAAATGTTGCCGGAGAGAATGTAACCGTGAATGGCGACAGTTATCGCGCCATGATATCCACGCATGTCATTCGCCAGTCACCAGTCGAAATGCTCGAACGAGTAATCGAAAATTGGATTCAATGGATGGACCATCTAAGACGTATATGCGACCAGCATTTGAAAGACATAATCTTCAAAAATCAAATGCCAAAAATCAAATGCCAAATGTTCTTTCGATTTATAATAAACATATTCCATTAAATTTGAAGTTTCTGTGTTTTTTCCTTATAAAAATAGGGAGCCACGAAATGGATCACCCTTTATAACCTAAAATCCTACAACTATGAAACACACAAATTATGAATTAAGAATAAACTGTTTTGTTACATGAAAATCTCAAAGCGACAGAATCGTCAATTCTCTTCTCGTTATTTTGGACTTGATCTTTGATCTTGTAAAAAATTACGTTTAAAAGCAACAAAAAATTTAGTAAGCTGAGCTCAAGGGGACAGGGTATTAAATATGGTTTAGTGTTATGATATATGTTAATGACAAATACGCCGAGAAGTTAAAAATATGTTTCTACACAGCTAGAATAGTTTGTGCGACTCACTACTCTCAAACGCTTGAAGAAGTAGCTTTTTCGGGCAGTACTAATTTTCAAGTGAATGACTTGCGGGCACTGGTTGCTAATATCAATTCATAATGGGTAAGACATTAAATAGCACCACTAGTAAATGTCAAAAAGTCAAATGTCTCTTCATTCTAATAGAAAACTTACAAAATTATTTATTGCTAAGTCACAAATATTAAAAGATAAAAGTTGGTTTGTAGAACATGAAACCTATTTAAATATTTATTAAAAACATGTGTTAACTGGTTATGTACTAGGAAATAAATACAATACGATGAATATAAGTGAATTTGCTCATATAAAATTAACTTAAAATAATATAATATAAAATATATAAACTTAAAAATACAAGTAGGGAATAAATAAATAACACAATGTGTAAGAACGAAAAGTAATTCTATTTTGCAAATCACTTATTACAAGGAATTTAAAGCTCGAAGGTTCATACGAAAAAAATATAAAATATAGTTCATATTTTTATAATTACTAAGAGAAATACATACATATGTACATATACATATATTGAAGAAGAGTTTGAATATTAAATACATCGGAGGACAAAAAAATATCGCAGCATTCAAAAATTATTCGCAAACTGGCAAAAATCGCATTTTTTGCAAATTAAACCAAATTCTTGATTTTCTTTGTTTGAAACTAGAAAGTGTGAAATTATGAGAAATATGCTGGAAATATGAATTTAATAGCTAAAGTGGCAAAAAATTTTTACAAAAATATACAAATACCAAATGTGAACAGATGCATTACAACAAACACATTTCACTACAGCTTATTCAAAATTAACAAATATGGATTTTTACTTAGTTTTATTATCAAACACGTATTTGTACGAGCACTTCGTGTGTTTTTCTTGGCAAATGTACTACAATTTGTCATATGAAAAATAAACAATAATTTACATCGACACAAATAATGAATTTTTAAATTCATATCCGAAAATCGAAATGGTTACTACGACCGATAAATCGGCTAACATGACAGGTTTGCCACATATATTTGTATGCATGTGAAATTCGTGATTGGCATTAATTTATGAAGTGTGAACTGTGAATTTTTTCTGTGAAGATTTTCAATGTGCAAGTATATATGTATGTGTGGTCTGTGCCTAAAATGTGTGAATAAAGCGATTTGATAATATGTGATGTGCTACATGTATAAAATGTTCTATCATGTGATGTGATGTAATGTCATGTGATGATCATTGCATTCGTAATTACAGCTAATTATATATGTTGCAATGTTTAATATACAAGTACCTTGTTAGGAGCCGTTTGCAGACCATGAAACGGTAGATTCTCATACTCGCCAGGTTCCGTCAATGGATCCCCCAGTGAAGATGACTTGTCTTGTACTAGTTTTATTTTTGCAATTTTTTTTTAATTTTTACACGATTTTCACACGCGTTCGTCGTATTAATATGCAATTACAATGTTGCATTTGTTTATTCGAATTCGTAGTATAATTTTGGACGCAGCAGATTTGAGAATTTCATAAAATAAAAGATGAACGCAGACCATTAAAAAATTGGAAATAAATTATAAGCAAGAAATTAAATTGAACATTTTAATTTAACTGGATTTACAGGGTAAAAACGGTTTAAAGACATAAAACAAGTTTTCAAATTGTTTTCAATAAAAGACTTAAGTTAACTTAAATTAGGATTACTTAAACTATATACAGTATATGTATAATTATATGTAATCAGAATTTCAAAGTGTTATAAAAATAAAAAGAAATGTAAAAATACGTATTAACTGACTAATTAGGGTACTAACGTAAAAAGTTTGACGTGACAAATGTGAAACAGTTAGGGAAATACGACACAAGATTAAAACCATAAAGTGGCATGCGCGACATTTATAGCTAACAAAAATGGCAGGCAAATAATATTGTTGCACGGCATTAAAAGTCAAACACATTAATTGGCAGGACTGGCCATAAACTGAAGCATTAAATGTTAGGGGACAAATAAAGTGTCACACCATTGAGAACAATGACGAAAATTCAAATTAGCATGGAAAATATAGCACATTTTATTTAGTAAAAAAATCGTTGTTGGCTTACTTGTGAACAGTTGTTAAATAAGGACTTCACACGATGAAGCATTTAGTATTACTTAATTATGTATAATAATATTGAAATTGAAAGATTTTAAGTTAGTTCGAAATTAAAGTTTGTGTTAAGAAAAAGTTTGCTTATTAAAGTGATATGCTGATTATTTAGAAGTTGATATTGCTATGCAATGAGTGAAATTCGAATTAATTTGGAATGAGAGAGAAGATTTTCTTAAGCTTTCATTCGGTGCTTCGCCTGTTATATGTGGAAGATTCGTCTGATCTATAAACCTGATTAATTACACTATTTTCATTATTTTCAAGAGTTTAAATCAATGGTTGTGGTAAGAAAACGGCTACTTGTTAAATGAGATTTTTTAATTATATTTTCGATGTTGATATTGCTCGCAATGTACGATGTTCGATTTGATGAATCGAGTCTGAAACTTAAAAAGCTTAAATCTAATATAATATATTGGCTGCCATGTCACATGCTACTACATGCTACTTCATAGACAGCACATGAAATTGGAAGCTTATTAAAGCTTTCGAACAGTTTTATTTCACCAAAAGGCGAAAGTAGCCGAAAGCAGAGTAGAGATTTTAGTTTTTTTTTAAATATTTTCAAATTTATTTCATTACTTCTTATGTATATTCTTCGGAACTTTCAAATAATAGTAATCTTGGGTCTTACTCGATCTTTTTCTTATTTCTTTGGTTTCTTTGATTGGTTGTACATACCATTAGTTATTGTAGCTCTCAATTTAAGCCGAAACTGAACCAATCTAACTTTTCTATAAACGAGCTCGCTGCACGAGGAGCTTGCTCTGATACGGTGCGCGCAACACATATAACCTTAAATACTTACGAAAATTAATCTATTCATAAGAAAATAGCTAATTTTTTTGATTACAAATATGCAAACGTTAATTTTTATGTAAATATGTGTGTATGAGTAATGCGTTGTGCGTGTGAAATATGATATATGAATGGATGTGTATATGGTATGAATTTGTTCTTACTTTGTACACGCTCTACCTTCGTCGGCGTCACTGTTGCCACATTGCGTTTCTGCAAGGGCGGAGGCGCCGCTTTGAAAGGCGGTGGTGGCCGTGGCGGCGGCGTAGGACTCTTCAATATGGAACGGTGTAGCTGTGGCGGTGGTCCACGTGTTGGCGTTGTAGTATTGCTGCTGTTGATGTTCTTTCCGCTGGCGATCCCATTCGCGCCGCTGGTGGCCGTCACCATGCTGGGGGTGTTCACTGCCGTCTTGTCGTATGAAGGCACTTGAAATGTCACAGAGGCAGGTGATCGGGGACTGTTGGCTGGAGGCTGCATAAGCGGCCGCATAGCTGGAGGCGATTGTGGTGGCAGTACTGGCGCTGCGACTATGGCTGTTGGTGTGACTGTTGTAGTTATATTAGAAGCAGTTGGTTCGCTGGTGTCTACATTAAGCTCAGCGGCACTAGCGTTTGCAGTCGCAACTGTGCTAAGCGTCATGCAAGTGTGATTGCTGATACTATTATTATTGTTGTTGATGTTACAATTACCGCTACGGCTACATGTGGCGACCGCATTTTCACCTGGCGAACTGCGTATTGGCGACTTTTTGTACGTGACTACAAGTGGTTAGTGCGTTTGTTGTGGATTTGTGTTGTTGTTGTTGTTGAGTGATGAGTGTGTTTTGTCAAGCCATACAAAATAATAAAAAAAAAGGAAAACATAATAAGAATGCAAAGCAAAATGAAAATAATTGCACATTAACTGAAAACTGGAACGCAAAGAAAAAGTGAGATTTCATTAATTACCACTGCCACTGCAACGAATGCCCTTAAGACGATGCTCCGCGGCGAATGGCGTCTTTTCCGCGGTTTCTGCGCCGTCCGGGCGGCGTTGCCACAGCACGCCCGCACCCGCCTGCCACATGCCGCCAAGCAAGCCGACATGGCTGCGCTGGCTGTCGCGCGTCGTATCGACGCCAGCGCCGCGTCGCTTGAAGATACCTGTCAAAAACTTTTCCACGCGTCCTAAGCGCCGCGCTCCAACACGTTTCTGTATGCTGCCGCAGACCTTCGCGCCTTCGCCACTCCGCTCCGCGCTGTCAACTTCCAACTGCGCTGTAGTTTCCTTTTCAGTCGCATTTGCAGTAGTTGGTGTGTCCCCCGCAAGCGCGCTAACGTATGGTATGCATCCGCTCTCTGCTTGTGGTTGCGCCATGTGCGCTGGGGAAATTTTATTATTCAGTTGAACTTCATGGATGGTGTAAGCCATCGTCGGCAGTTGCGTTAATTTGTTAAATTTATGTGGCAATGTTTGTGTGAAAGCACTAGCACTGGGGTCCTCGCTACCAACGACAGCCGGGCGTTTTGCGCTAAAACGACCAAGCGTTGACGTTTGCTTGGCATTGTCATGTCCACCAGCAGAATCGTCGTCATTGCTAACCACATCTATAAGAGCGTCATTGGTGGTGACGGTATTCGCCGTCTGTGTGGATGCGTTTAATAGTGTTGTAAGTGCGGTGGCCGCTGAGAAGCCAGATGCATTGAGTGTGTCGCTTGAAATAGTGCTGCTCTCAGCCGCTGTCACCGGTGTCACCGCTGTCAAATTCGACAGTTGTGCTGTAAGTGTGTGCGGGCGCAGTGTCATACGATTAGTTGCTAGATTTTGTTTGGTGTCACTGCTCACATGCACCATGACGCCGGGACGCAACGGCCAGCGCGGCGGTGATTTGGGTGCTTGTGCGGCATGTCGTACACGCAGACTGGGTGTACGACTGGGTGCCGTGACAATTTTGGGTGTGTGTGTAGGTACGGATGTGGGTTTGGTGGGGGGTTTGGGTGGCAGCTTCGGTCCGGGTAGTTGCGGTAATTCTTGTGCGGCTAAATTAGGTATTAGACAACCTGTTGTCACCTGTTGCGAACAGACGGCCGCAAGCGCCGGCGCGGCCACGCCCGCTTGCGGTGCGTTCGATTGATACGACAGTACACTGTTTATCCGTTTCGTGTGATAGAATTATATGAATATGTATGTATGTTGTGACGGCGCATAGATGTTCAGATGCAGTTGTTGTGGCGATGAATGTGTTCAATTTCGTTTAATTTTCATGTATTTTAGTTTATGAAAAGCATTTACATAAAAGAAAAATGTGACAACAACAACATTTATTTGACACAAGCAACCAAATATTAGTGTTGTAAAACATGATACAGTTTTTGTGGTGGAAAAAATGGTGCACGCATCATAAATATGCAACGAAAAGGAAAAACAAAATTAATTCAAATTAATAACATCAAATAAATTATGCCTTATTAAAAATTATTAAGGTGGATTTTCACTAAAATTTTTGAAAATTTATTTGAATAAAGTATTTAAATGAATATATTAAATTAAATTAACAAAAATAGTACTAGGCAAACTCTGAGTTCGTACCGATATATACCAGTAAAACCGTTTGAGGTCACCATTCGTATTTAACCGAATATACATTTGTGACCGAAGCAATGAGGAACTGGTATACAGAGTATATGTTGGAATCTTTTTTTTTTTTTTGAAAACCAATTTCGGAAGGAACATAAGGGTTTTTCAATGAAAAACGAACATATTTCTTTGAGGTTTGCTCTATTATTATTCGCATGTTTTTAATTAGAAGGATATGTTAGATACATTACTAAGTGAGAGGCAAAATGGGCTGTCACTGATGGAATTATAAGTTCATGAGTGAACCATATTGAGATTAAGTGTTAATTTTCACAAAAAAATATGAAACAAAGGAACCGAAGAATTAAGTTGATCAGGAGAACTGCACTTTAAAGATATCAAAAGAAGGGATGAAACATACTCTTACATATAGTTCCTGAAAATTTTAATCAGCGGCAGATGATTCTAAATAGTGAATTTGGATTTATTCAAACCTAATAAACCCAATTTGTTGTGTTAAAATGTGACTAAGTCTACCGACCGTCCGCGATCAAAGTTAACTGGAATTTTCAGGGAAGTATACAAAAGGAAAATCGTATCTAACTCTGTTGATTTAAAACGTATAACTGACAAAACCGGGGAAATTAGACTTAAGTACTTTTAAAAGTTCTTTTTCTATTGAATGAATGTGTTTTGTTTAAAAATATTAAGGTATCAATTTTATTAATTGGTGTTGTTTCCGCAGTAAGCAACTTTCCTTCTATTGAGAGCACAAAGGCATCAAGGGCAACTGTTCACTGTTTGGTGGCGAAACACGCCCGCAATATGGTAATGACCGATCGAGAAGACTACAGGAAATGCCTAGAGCAGGGCACTACGGACAATGGAACATCTCTTGTGCATTTGTTCCGCCTTGGCAAGACTATGCTGTAAGCATCTGGGATGGACACTGACACATCCAAAACGATGACTACTCCTCTTGGATTTAGCAAGTAAACTCCCTCTCGCATTGCAAAGAACCAAACCGATCTATGCGTGCCTTATTAGCCTACCAGATTAACCTAGCCAACCTATTCAGCAGGGCCCTTTTATATGAAATGAAATTTATAGACAACAAAGTAATTGCTGAGAGAAGCCTATTTTGGCATAAAAAACAAATCATTATACAAAAATGTTGTCGAAATAAACCGGAAATTTGACCATTAACTACTTACGGTGGAAACTAACATTTTTAATTGCAAAACAGAGCTTTTCCCAAAAAGTTTTTTTAATCAAACTTTCGAGCTGGCCTAGTATCGGAATAATAACTGTATATGATTCTTTAATGATCATGCTTTAGAACAATTTCCGAGAGTGGGTCACCATATGCGTCAGATAGTTATAGCCGTTCGATGATATAGCCAGCCATGTCAGTGCAGATGAGTTATTGAACAGAAATCTAATAAAAAAACACCGTTATGCTATTCAGGGAAGGAATATAATAATATACAGTTTCATATACTATATATTTCAAACTTTGGAGGACCTGTTAAATTGCTCAAGTAGTTTGCCTAATACTTTTCGAACGGGGTGTTAAACATAAAAACAAAACAGAAACACTACTTTCAAATGAAAATAGTTTGGCGAATACTTTTTACTTGGCGAATTCCGTAAAATTCTAGTGATTCTTTAATTAGTACTCTTATTAAAGCTTACCTGTGCGTGGCGCTGATTGAGACATCGGTGCGGTCTTTGGGGATTTCGCGTAAAATTCGAATTCGAATTGTATTTCATGTATTTATTTTCAGCACAGTGTTTTAGTTGTTGTTATATGGGCGAGAATGCATGGTTTAATCGGCAGCACAAGTGTTGGTTGTTGCATTTGTGTATGTGTGTGTGTGTGTGTGGGTGTATGTGCATGCGCGAGCATAATGGCAGACACAATTTACCAATAAATATTTCCATTTAAATTTTGATTGCACAAGCGATTAGTTCATTTTTATGACGATTAATAAATTGAACGCAAATGCGTGCGTGTGCGTGTGAGTGAGTTTGTGTGTGTAACAATTATATAATTGCGTAGTTAAATGACGGTTGATTGCCGTGACAGTGATGGATGATTTTGTTCGGAATCCAGTTCATTGTATGCCACATGTGTGTGTATGTGTGTTTGCATGTATATGTGTATATGTACATAGCCGCAGCAAATTAGTTAATGACCGAAAGTAGCAAGTGTTTATTGATTTCACATTGGTTTGTTTGTATGTGTTTTAGTATAGTTATTCAATGTTGTTGTATTGTGTTATGTTGTTGTCAAGTTATGCGTATGTACACAAGTATTGCCATACAATTAAATATATTTTGTGTTAATTTTATTTCGGCAACGTAATTAACACCAAAATACAACAACAACAATTACAGGCAGTACAGTGAGGGCAAATAAAATACGGACGCATAGTTCGATGCATTTCAGTTAACACATACGTATAGGTAATTATTGTCCATTCAAGCCATTCCAAGCAAATGCGATGCGTTATGTTTGCCGAGCAAAAGCAACAAAAACAGTTTTGAAAGCATTTAAGCGTACAAATAAATAATATTCAATCATTTTTGTGTTTTTCAGCCGTTATTTGTTGAGGTCCGTATATTTGAGTAAAGTGTTAATTTTTTTTGTTTGTGTTTTGTGTTAATAAATATAATTTTTATTACGCACACAAGTTAAAGTCATGTGTGTGTGTGGATGTTATTGTATTTATTTATTTATGTTTTTCGGTAATAAATAATTTTCGGTTTCCATGTTTGCGTTTCGTACGAATTTCGCATTGTTTACCAATTTTCCAGGCAATTTTGCATTCAATGCACGATTTGCAATATTTCATAGTGCATTTGTCGATTTTTTCATACATATAAATTTTAAACCGATTTATTTTGCACATCATGCATGTGTGTAGGTGTGTATATGCAGTTATGATAATGTTAATGTTAGTTTTTTTTGTGGTTGGTTGTATTTATTATTATTGCATAATGCAGTTTTCATCAATTCGGTGTTGGTTGTTTTTGATAAGTTTTTGTTGAAGCGCAAAACACATAAAAGCGCAAAATATAAGAAGAGAAGAGAGAACATAAATTTGCAGTTAAGTCGTTTGTCAAAATAAATTAAGCAAATAATATGGTTAACTTACACAAAATTCATAATGCAAATATGTGTGGTATTAAAAGTTACAGATACAGGGTGTTACATTTTTATAATTTTTATACATTAAACTGGTTAGGGCTAGGCTGGGATTCGCTACATTGTGGAAATCAGCCACTAATTTAAAAAAAAATTATAAAGTATAATTTTGTAACGAAAAAATCGTTTCCCTGTTCAATATGCTTTATAGTAAAGTACCCAAATCAGTCAGCGTCGCAAATATAACTTTAAATGCATTTTTCTCGAAGGCCTATTTTTCAAATGCAGGTCACGATTAGGTTACTACTTTACCGAGTCAACGAATATATAAGGTCTCTTATAAGGTCACTTAGTACAAACTGATGGTTTCGGGATTTAAGACGATCACTCTGCTGTCAAAGTAACCTAGTATTAACTGTTACCAGCTGCTAAATTTTATTCTTGTAAACAATCAAAATTTTTTAAATATTTTCGTTGTATTTAGAATAACACCCAGCACCCATTCTATTTAAACTGACCCTATAAATTATCTAAACGGCTCATTTGGTAAACGAATTTCGGGATTTCAGCGGAAATTATAATTATTTTCCAGTTCACCATTAAAAATTCTGAGTTCGAGGTCATAATATCAACACCAAAGTTCCAAAATTCAGGACTTCGTTTGTGGTATAGTTTATCATCGTCATCATTCCGATCCACAGCTTTACTAGCCAATACTAATATTATTATTTTTATACTCTTGCAACATGTTGGTACAGAGTGTAGAAATAAATATAGGCTTATATGTATATATAGACGATGAGGATGACGAGACGAATTAAAATCCGTCTGACTGTCCGTCTGTCCGTCTGTACGTCCATGCGGAATTTTATCTTGACATGTTAGTAGATGGGTGTAATCGGATCACTGCTAAGTCCACAAAATGCCATAAACCGAAATCAAGGTAGTAAGGGACTCGAGTGGGTCAACATTTTCAAAAAGTCGTCGTGGCCCGACTTCTAATGAGTTTAATGTACATACATATTTCCCAATCCACTATAGCTACCACAACCAAATTCGGCTAGTACAAAATTTTAAGAACTCTTACAGACAGTAAAATGGATGAAATCGGATGATAACTCCGCTCAATCGTGTTGCACGGTCTGTCAAAAACTACTTAAAGCGCGATAAATCAGTAACTAAATATGCCAGAGACATTAAATTTTATTCACGAGATACAGTGGCAAAATAAGCGAAAGCGTGTGAGATATAATTGAAATTCTAGATAATTCTTTCCTGATTGCAGTATGTCGGTTTGTTACAAATAGGTACAATCGGATCAACACTTCCCTTAGCCCCCATATCCCTTATACAATGATTTTCGAACTTCCGAGCGATTTTATACCTGATATATCGACCAATATGTGAATTATCGTTATAATGTATATATAGTTAAGCACCTTATGTATCTAAAGGTATTAACCGACTTGTTTATTTCAATTTTTTCTAACACCCTGCATCGTCAACAGAAATTAATTTCAAACAAACTAATATATACACCATAAAAAGCAAAATAAATAATTCATAATAACAACATTGCCATATAATTTAATTAGTTTCTTCATTAAGTACAATAATTCATTTGTAGAATGCATGTTGATTTACGTTTATTTTTCCAATTTTTTTATGAAATCTTATTTTTTGCCTCAAATACATACACTTAGGCATAATATTATATTAAGCAAATACATGTAAACAAGCGAGTGAAAATATACATATGTGTGTGTGGTATAATCATAAATTCAAACAAATCCGTAGCATAGCTGCAGGCGCAATGTAATGGAATCGCACACAATTGAATTGTTTGCCATGCATTAGAAAATGGACGCTGGAGGGGCTGGTGAATAAGGAATAGCCAACACGTGCATGGTGTGAGGGTGTGTTATTATTAATTACAATTAAATAAATAAACAAATACAGAACTTATTGACGCGAATTGCATTGGCTTTCATTTGTTTTGCCAGTTGAAGAAATTTAAATTGGAAAGAGTATTAAAAGTGGTAGTTTCCAGCAAAATTTTCAATTTCAAATCAATTTTTTCAAAGTATGTAAATAACTTTCAGCAAGAAATATATGTTAAAACCATAAATGGATTGCTTTAGATTTAAATGGAGTGATAAATATTGTAAAATTCTGAGTTATAGAAACGACTACTTCTTCATGCGTGGAAATGTAAACATGAAAAGCCGTTGGAATATGCAAAATGAATATGCCAAACTAAGGGATTTAAATATCTCGAAAGGAAGAGGTGATAAGTGAGCTAAATATGCTGAGAAAACTTCACCAACAGTTTTTGTTTTATAAT